GTTCAAAGTAAGAAGCAATAAACCACAACTGCTATTTAGCTTCCTAAATGATACCAAACTTTTAAGAAACAGTTTTAAACCTAGCCTTAGATGGTATGTCTAACTGTTATGGTGAAATGGTAAGTGCTGAATACATGAACTTCTGAATTAAATTAAATGTATTTATATTTTTAAATACAACTAAAAAAGCCTGGGGTCAAATTGACCCCAAAGAACACTGATACATACAACATGTGTACAGGACATTGAAAACCTAGTTGTCCCTCTTAAATTAGGAAAAGTCATTAAATATGAAGCAAAAAAAATGATGTCAATCATTTATTTAGAGATGTTAAACATTGAATTGGGTCAGATTGACCCCAAAGATAATAGGAGGGTTAAAACAAACACATATAAACATAAAAATCATAAAAAGAAGATTCTACTATTTGGAAAAATTGATAAATGATGGAGAGTAGATTACTCATCCATTTTTTTTTACCTACTGCTATTGCACTTTATAACGACTCCCATTTAAGTAAGGACAGAAGACATTTAAACTTTTAAACTTTTAAACTTTAGCCTGAGTTGCATATATCATATATCAAACTGTATTGTGGGCTCATGTTTTTTGTATGGGTGGGATATGTATGTATATATGTGTTGTGTGTTTGTATGTATGCTGGCTGCTGGAACACCTACATTTCCCTGCTGGGATGAATAAAGTATATCTTATCTTATTCAAACTTAAAAAACAACAACAACAGAGCGTGACACTGCATAAGGTGAAATAAAAAGTATATTGTTATAAAACCAGCATAGCAATATTGACACTATAAAATAATCCATGCAGACCTGAAGATAAAAGAACATGATAAAATAGTATGATTTATTCTATCGGTGAATTAATCAAATGTGTTATTATTCAATAGTCCTTCAGTATGACATCTTGTAATAAGGCTTTCAATCAAATTGTAAAAGCAAGGATTTGCTGGCTGAAAAAAATCTAAATTAAAAAAATAAATCACTTCCCTCAGTTGAAAATAGGCTGCTTACAGAATTTGACCTCTGCAGCTATTGGAGAAGTTATTTATAATATTATATATAGTCATAGCCAGCATGTAAATTAGTTTAAGGCACTGCTGTGCCTCAAGCAGCATTATGCAATATTTGGTCTATTTGACTAAGATTAAGCTGTTTACCAACAACCTGACAAAAGTCTGCCTCCTATGTGTCAATGTACCTTTACACTCTAGGTTCCTGCAATTATGTAATTACTGAGAAGTACTTAAAGCATTCATGACAAAAGCTTTACACACTTGTCACATACATAATGCAACAGGCCCAGTCTCTAAATAACTAGTCAATGTTATTCACAATGAGTTAGAAGTAAAAACATATTGGTATTGGAAATGAGGAACACCTCAGTGTCCTTTTGAGATAAACAATGTTTTGAAATGAAATGAAATGAAAACATACAGCATGTAATGTTGCACACACAGGCACACACAGACACACACACACACACACACACACACACACACACACATTCCTAGAATCAGAGGACGTCAGAGATGTGGCAACACCTTTAATCTGGAATAAAGTTGCCTAGTCAACTTGTAACCAAAAGCATATGTAGTGTCCTTGTGTCTGGTGATAACACAGGAGAAATTCATGTGGAATGCGGTGAGAGGCCAACATTCTTATGACAAAAGAGTTGCATAGGCAGCTGCTGATAAAGAGCTTATCCCCTGCTGTTTCCTACTCCTGGTCTCATGATCCTGAGGCCCAAATAATAAACCTAGAGACGTTATGCTGCACTGGTTACTACAGTGTTCATGCAGGAGAAGATATATCATAGACAGGTGAGACACTTCCACTGAACAGTCCCCTTATTTCTGTTTAAAAATTCCCAAATCAAATGGAAGCACAAGCCAGGTCTAATAGCTATACTTCAGTATGTTAATCTTCACAGGTACTAGTGCGGCTAATCAATAAGGATCAGTTGCCACATGTTTAAATGTTTTTCTAGAATAACATATACATTTTTCAAGCTTTAGATAATAAACAAAACCAAAAAACTATTTTTTTTCTGAGAAGGTGCCCACAGACAATTTAAGTTCATGGTAGTAGATACTTAATAATGAAGAACTGTTTGTTATGACATAGTGCCTTCAAAATCCACTACATTCATTTACCAAGTTTGAAATGCATCAATCATTTTATAAAGATCAAAATCAAATCAAATGACAGTTGTGGTGGTTACTGTGATGGTATCATGGATTAGATTGACCTTATTCTATACAATAATTCCCTCATAAACATCAGTTATATCTGCCAAGATCAAGTAAATCTTTAAATGTATTGTTGTATTAAATAAAACAAGTCTTTACATTTTCCCTACACAGCTGAACCTTGTAGTACTCAGACACAAACATAGAACAATCACTGTGGACCTTTTTCTGCCTTAGAACACTTGAGGGCTGGAGAGTATTTATTGCCACTGCACAGCATTTGCAGTATTAACTACTACTACTGTTTTAATTCATTGCAACGTCATTGCAACATTTTGGCTTCTTTACCATAGTTATTCTTAACATTTTTGGACAGCAAATGAAAAAACAAATATTCATTGGATTTGTTTACAGTGGAAAAAGAGACCTTTTGAGGGATCAACATTAACTCGTGCTGCTTCCAAAAGAGGATACTACAAATACTTCTATAGTGAAAACAAACTTTGTTTAACAACGCTGGAGTTCACTTTGACATTGACGCTACAACATGTTACACTCTGTCCCTGTGATCTGAAACAACACAAGTAGCTCTGACAGAATGAGCTGTTCTTGTGACTTTCACTGCTTTATTCACTTAGACGCAGCTTCTCTACGACGTCATCAGCTTATTCAATATCTTGTTATATTCTTTTGCCACACAATGGCTTGAATTCCAGTAGGTAAGTTACACAAACACAGCTTTGGCAAGCTAGTCTCCATTAGAATACCAGCTCAAAGAATAGATTGCTTGTCCTTCAGCCATGTTAGTGTTAGCCCATGAGAGAGAACTACGTAACAATATCTTTCCGGGGAAAACAAGCCTGTCATGCACAACTAAGAAGCCCATACTTCCTGAATGAAGTAGCTGACACTATGATGCAAGTTCATCGTTTGCTGTGGTGAGTCATTGTCTGGGAGAAAGCCTGTGTCACAGACAACCTGTTTAATTTGAACTTTTATTGGCAGAAAACCCCTCCCATAACAACCAAATGAAGAGCTGGTTATGTGAAAAACAAACAGTTCTGACAACATGGTGAGAGTTAAAATTTAACCATTGCATCGTTAATTTGGTTGGACAAACAGCAGAATGGACCAACAGCCCAAGGCAACCTGCCAGCTCATAACTACCCATGGACAGGTTGTAGCTCTGTTTATGTCACGCAGTGCATAATGAAAGCCAGTGGGTTTGGCCGGTGAAACCGCACTCTGGATTACTGAAAATGAACACAATGTACACACAAGTAACTAAGAGCATATTGTCATCTGTTTAGCTAAATAGACAACATGAAGAGGATCAAAAACATCTATTCTGTCTCTTGTAGTCTTAAAAGTCTTTTAGCCTTTTTGAATCTTTTGCAATGCTTTCATAACGCCTCTGAATTGAGTCTAAGTGTAAAAACATTTGATTAGATTAGATTATACTTTATTGATCCCCAGTGGTGAAATTTGGGCGTTGCAGCAGCAAGAGAGAGAATAATACAAAATTCACAGAATAGATAATACAAATAAAGATAATAATAGGACAATTAAGAGTTATGTGCAGTGAATGTCAGGTTAAAGTGACCAGTGATGATTTAAAGTGACTTGTGTGACCAAAGTTTCGAGTTATGTAAACAGCAGTATGATATGACCGTATAATAATAATAAGAGTGCGGTTATAAGAAATATAATCTAACATGGTATATGCAATAATATAGTGCAATAAGATACAGTATTCTGATACTACAGTGTAATGTATAAAATAGAATACTAATAATATAAAATAATGATGTAATATAATATGATAATATAATATACAGTATCATCAATCTTAAATAATATTATAAAGTGGTCTGGCATGATGGGGGTAATGTCCATGTTAAGACAGAATGTATGACCCACTGCTGTTGTAAAGTCTGATGGCGGTGAGCACAAAGGAGCACCTGAAGCGCTCAGTTTTGCACCTGGGGGGGAGAGGAGTTATCCAAGATGGCAATGATTTTGTCTTTCATCCTCCTCTCAGCCACCGTCTAGTTCCAGCCCCACCACAGAGCGGGCCTTCTTCACCAGCTTGTTTAGCCTGCTTGCTTCACCAGTCTTGATGCCACCCAACCAGCACACCACAGCAAAGAAGAGTGTGCTGGCCACCATAGACTGGTAGAAAGGGAACACAAAGACATGATTTATTGGACTCATAAGCATTATTTAACTCATTAGCATTTCTTTCTTAACAGTAAAACACAAAATGACTGCAGACTATCGAGGTTGTTTATGATGTACTGTTGTGTACATCCACTTATCCTACAAAGTTTTACATCAAATTGAACCTTAATTATAGAATCTGCTCTGGTCAATAAAATCAGCAAGCTCTTTCGATATAATTGTGTCCCTGCTTAATGAGGCATGATATCTGTAATATGTACATTTCACAGGATACAAAGCTGTATTTGACATATCAGAATTGAAAATATCAAACTCAGCCACGTAATTATTATACATATTGAATGATTATACTGTTGTTCATTTAGATGATGTCCTTTCAGGACACGAGAGGCGATGACAATGGACTTTTGCTTATCACTATGCAATATGATATGTGAGTTTGTGTCATTGTAAGTCTGGATCAATGTGGGCAAGAACATAAACAAATGTTACTTTAACAGATTATAGTTTAAAGGTTAAAACAAGTGTTGACTTGAAGAAGTGATAGATAATAATTAAATTTGTTAAACAGACAGTTATTAAAAGCTTCCACTTGTTATCTGACAGAAACATGGAAAGGTGGATGATGTCGGTGGCGACAATTGCTGAAGACATAGTTTTGCCCCAGATGGAGAGAATTAGCAAACGGAGGTCAACGGAGAAGAGGGCTGTCTGACTGTCTAAGCTGCATTAAAACTGTAAGTAAACATTGTTAGCTGACAGTGCTGCGGATCAAATGTCCACCGCACATGACAGTTGTTGTGACAGATGAATCTACTTTACCTTCAATGATTCTGCTCCGTCAGTGCAACAGTCATTTTGCTTACAGATAAAGTATTCTCAAGATCCAGAAATGCTTTTTGTGGTTCCTAGGGAATGGGAAAGAATTGCTTGTAATTGCATAGATTGTGTATGCATTTGTTTTGATATTTAACAGTTGAGCTGCATTATAAATGTAGAACTGAATACCTAAAATGCCGCAATTCACTATTTCATGGAACCACTGCTGTCCATACCAGTTGACTTAGGAATTTCCAAGGATCTTCCTTTCAGTCAGCCCTGCTTTATTGTTATTTTATTAACACTGGTTTGTTTTAGGAGAACTAAGATTAAGTTACAAAGAAATTCAGATTAGGAGGACACATTTTTCCTTTGAGAATACAGACATTGTAGGGGAGTAAGTCGAGCATAAGCATCTGGTTAAAAGTATATTTATTTATGCATTTGTGTTTTTGTGGCCTTTTTTTTTGGAATGGGGTCATCTAATACATTTTGATAGAAACAAGATACTTGCAAAACCTATGCATAAATGCACATGTATCCACACATGTACAATAGCCACTAGTCCCTGTTCTCATCAAAAAGGAATGAAGTCAGTGTTAACAGCTTGCATAAGGCCTAAAGGGAGAAGGAAAAGTAAGCCAATGTATAAACCTAAAAAACAACTGCAAGTGTCAGGTTCAGGATTGAGTTTGCACATTTATATACTTTTCATTAGGGAAATGTCTTGAATTAATTGGCTGAAGTAAGGCATCCAAACCTATTAGCTGATTATTACATCAAAGCTTTGTTCCTTCAGCTCATCTCAGCCTGAACTGTAAATTGATCAGATGCCGCTTTACATGCAGCTCATATACTTTGGCTCAGTAGGGGGTCTTCAAACTGAAAAGTTACGCTTGCTGCTCTGAGTCATTTCTTGATCATCAGCAGTAGAGGCTTGGAATGCATTCCTTAATTATACGAATTTGATAGTTCCCTGTGGATATTCTGAACTCATAAATGTGCCCCTAATAAGGAATGAAACGTGACCTGTCTTTGTGCACACACATGTGTGCAGCTGAATGGCAAGCAAGCACACACCGAAACTCATGAAAACACACTCATGCATTTAAACACTAAGTTTTCGTCTTTTGACATATTCACATCTGCTCGCGCTTCACACGCAGCAGGGTGTTTTGAGGCCACGTGGCAGAGCTCTGCACAGCACGGCTTTAGGTAGATGAAGACAACATCCACACCCACGCACCCTCTCACACCCGTCATCCCAACCGAAGGATGCACAGTGTGAAGAGAGCTACATGAAAGATTTACTAGATTTACCAACCGAGGTGGTCTCCCTCAGAAGCCCAGTGGAGGCCTGTGGTTGGAGGAGAAAAGAAGGGGGGGGAATTCCAGGGAGAATCCTGGACTGTGTGAAGTGTGATTCTGTATTCAGAGAACAGATTTAGCATTCTACCACTCAGCAGTGATCAGTCTCACATAGGCTCTTACCCAGCCTCCATCACACTCTGGCTCCTGCACTGCATCTCAACACAGTTTGACAGCTGATGAAAGGAAACACTGCCAGCCCCTAAATATGGGCCTATTACGAACTCTTAGACTTAGAGAAAGTTTGAAAAGATCATAACACAGAGGTCAGCACAGTCACGTGGATGCATGTGGTACAGGTTTCTGAAATTAAGCCTGCTCAGAATACAGTTTGCCTTGTAATAGGCCTCTGTCTCTTTTTAAAGAGGATTTTTCTAACTGTAGTAAATAACTAAAGTAAATAAATGCCACTAAGCTGTCATACAAGTGCATTTGTATACATTGCTTAAATACATCCTCTATGTTTACCTAGGCCTCTCTGAGATTTACATTTAGCTTGAAGACTTGAACATGTTAGGCCTGTTTGACTACTATTTGGCACAGACGTCATGAACACTTCCTGCCAAGAGACCGGGCATCTCATCTGACTCTGTCACCGATAGTAGCTTTAGCTTAGGCTACGTGCAACTATCACTGTTTAGCTGCATAACAGAGTTCCTACTTCATACTGCATGTGCAACTACACGGGTCTCTGTCGTTTTAGAGGGACATGTAGGATTTCTACCGGAGAAATAAAATGCTGACTAACAGCTAGACGTTGCAGCGAACGCACATCTGACAGCAAGTGAATGATAAAACATATATAGCCTAATTCCGGACCTGAAAAGATAAAGGAATAAAGAAAAAAAGCGAAAAAAATAAGATTGTGTTTTTCAGTGTATAGTGGTCCGCTGATGGTGCATCACTTGCATCTTGGCACAAAGTTTTGACTCGCGTCCCGTGTAAGCTGAGTGGCCACGCTCAGGAGGCACCTGAGGAATTTGCAGCGCTGGCCAAGGTAGGACGGTTCTGCCTCGTGAGTACATGGGGGGCGAGCGCCTGTCTCCATATCACTGACTCTTAAATTCATTCCAAGGCTTCTCCTCCTGCCTCCATATCACTGACTCTTAAATTCATTCCAAGGCTTCTCCTCCTGTCTCCATATCACCGGCTCTTAAATTCATTCCCCGGTTTCACGGGACGGACCTGCGATTGGAAACGCGCGCGCGCGCAGCGAAGCAAAGCTCCGAACATGCACGCTGATTACCATCAAATGACACCGAACACGTGCTGTCATATTTAGCTGGTCCGGATCCAAATTCAATTTCGAGCTTTGTTGCGCAACAGAGCTCCCAATTCACAAGTGCAGCTGACAACTTGTTTGTGTTTGCATCCTGCTCTTAACTTCTGGGGACGCACGTTGTAAAATGAGGTTGGGAAGCATCGTTTTATTCGTCGCTGTGTGCTCTTTTACCTCTTATTATATCTACGAGCCCATTCCCGAGGAGATAGACGAGAGATGGAAGCTCATGCTGACCAACTCTTTCTTCAGAGGTCTCAGCCACCTGGTAAGGAAACTGTTTTCTTTTCATTAGATCTGCTGGTGCTTCATTCGAAATGACTCACTTTATAATATCTGGCTCTGCAGATGAGGTAACAAGAGGCATTTTTGAGTTGTCCCTTTAATGCATGATGTGGTTACTGTAGCCTACTGTCTTTGTTGTCAGAGTACCTATGGTAGTTTTGAAACGTTTATTTTGCTGATGTGGATACACATGCTGGTTACATCAGATTATGTCAGATGCTAATCCATGTGTTGTACTGTATAGTCCTTCAAACCTGTTCTAATAATAGATCCTATTAAAGACCGTTAGAGCTCGGACTTTACTGCTGTCCATTGTGAAGCAGCTATTGGCTCTTAATAGGTTTAGACATTTAATAACGCAAACATAGGCTATTTATAACATTGGTTTAACAGTGTTATTAAAGGCTACGTACTGTACTTCAACATTCAACATTTGGGAGGTGTTGCAGTAGTTTGAGTATTATATTGAGTAGGATATTTAGTAAACAAAAGAACATTGATAACAGCAATAAAAGTGTTACATGTTCATTTTGAGGGACATTATCATTGTCAGATATAATCCTGTTCACTTAAGAAATTAGGCTGTGTTTGATTATATTTCTTGTCAGTAAGTAACAACAATATAACGTAAGTATGCAGCCAAATGTAGGTCTCTGATCCAGGCACACTGCCATCCTTTACAATGATTAACTCAATCAATTAGAGTGAGTGTTTTGGTGATCTGAAGGCATAACTTCTTTGTGTTTTTTTTCTGCAAAACCAATATTCAGTCCCTTTGTAAATCAATGTTCTTGTCCTGTAAACATTCTGTTAGACTTTTACTGTTTTCATCAGCTAATTTTCAGTTTAGTATTTTTAAACTGCAGCAGATAAATCCTGCAGTGTTTTCTAAAGCTGATATGAGTGTGTGATGGTAGGTACAGTAGAGCTTTTGATGAGTCTTTGACGGGTGTGTTCTCCTCACAGTGGAAAGCATCAGCTGATGAGCCTCATGACAGCCACTGAATGCTTACCTCATTGGACATAATGGAGTACGATTCATAGTTTAATAACAGTATATTCAGTTATTAATTCAGGAAAAAAGGAATAACTTTAAGGCACTGTTGACATTTAACTAGACAATGTTCCCTTGTCCATAGTCTCCACATCTCTTTAACAAGGCAACAAGTTCAGCATCTTACCTCTTTCTGTTTGAATAAAAGAAGCTTTGTTCATGTTGATTGTGTTTTTATGTAGGATAAACTGACTTGAAATAGCTAATTGTTTGTACATGATGTAATACTAATATCTCTGGTATGAACAAGGAGTAATACTGTAATGTGTCTCTCTCTTGTTTCCCTTTTCAGGCAGACCTCAGTGAGTTACTGGGGCTGAAGGACTACATGGGAGTGATGTATGTTATTACTCTGCTTGAAAATGTAGTGCCAGAGTCTGATGAGCATGTCAAGGTGACAGAGGGGAGGTTTGATGGAGTGGAGGTGGTGCTGTATCAGCCGAAGCAGCGGGGCAGTGACACTGAGCTCAGGAGAGCCGTCATATACCTGCATGGTGGAGGGTGGTGTCTGGGGAGTTCCCGTAAGTTGATGGGTTGGGCCTTTCTCCTTCTTTAAAACACAGAATGTTCACTGTGGGATATGAGGACTTACCAAAAGATGGAGGGTTAGATGGATGAATAATACATCTTGCTGTATTTAGTTGATGTGACAGTTACTCACCCAACTTGGAGAATACCTTTCAATTTTGAGAGACTCCCTATAATGGATTCTAAAACAAGACACTAAACAAATAGCATACTATCAGAAGCACAACCACAGAGCTTTCACAGTCTGCAATGGGAAACAACACACCTTCTGCTTGAGCAGTGGGAACACAGAGGGCGGTTACCCTTTAATCCAAAACATAAAGACATGTCATGCAGTTTGACACAACTCATGCTGTTTCTGCAATCTGTTGAACAGTCCTATAAATCACATTTACGCGGGTCCTTCCAGGAAGTACCACTTGCTGCACTATTGCTTTCATCTAATGTGATGTATTACCGGTATGCCAGGAATGTTAAGATGCAATTTTTTTCCTTAATAAATGTGATGCTTAAAAATCTCTGTTCCTCGTGTTACATTTTCAGTGTCCATCTTCTCTGTTTTTACAGGAATGAGTCCGTATGATCTCCTGGCTAGAAGAATGGTGACAGAGCTGGACGCAGTGGTTCTTTCAGTAGAGTAAGTATATCATATTTAGTAACTTATAATATACAGGCACTATTATACAGTATATTAACTAAACTACACGCAAAATGTTGTAGAGTGAGACATATGTATTATCTAGTGGACATTATTAAGCTTTGTTTAGTTTATATTCTTCAGAGTTAGGTCAGGCTATTCCCCCCTTGTTCCCTCCACCTCTCACAGTTTTTCTGACATCACATGTGCCTGTCCTCTCTGATTAGTCGCAGTCAAAGTGAGGATGCAGTAGAGTGAGCTAACAGGTTTTCATTTGGGTCTCGCCAGGCCTTTCCTCTTTCACAGCTACAGTCACTGGTTATTTTAGCCATTCCTGGCTCGAATTCCCACTTTCTGTACCCTTACTCTTACACCAACTTTCTCCATTTTTTAGACTACTATACAAAGTTTCTTGTCAACTATACAAAGTTCAGCAGTAAAGATCAAAGGCATGAAGCCATCCCTTGTTTTTTGTGTGTTTAACATGGTTTTGTTGGTTGACACATAGTACTTGACCGTAGAAGGAAGAGTGTTTCAATGTGGGGGGTGTGTGTGGGGTTTTGTCTTATCTGCCTCATCTGAATTCCTGTCTGCAATTTGTTAAGGGTTCAATGGATAATTTCAGCATATCACAATCTTTAAGTCAGCCATGTGTAACATTTGACTTTTGGACTGGAACATTATGTGATCCCAAATTAAATGGCTTTAAGTTTCTTTTCTCGATTATCTGTGAAACTTAATTAAATGACCACATTATATTTGTATTTACACCTATGTTTCACAGTACTGTATGTTTGTCCCCATAGATGAGTTTTAAAACAACCCTTGCAGAAGACCAACCTGTTTTTTAAGTATATTTTGATAAAATTCTGAATAATCACTGATCTTGTTTTATATTTAAAGACCCACTGCTTCTCTAAAAGATCACAAAATGATTGTCTTTATCTCCCAGTGTTTGTGGTTTTAACTACTTGCAGAAACACAAAGATAAGAAAATCAAATGGTTAAACTGCCCTGAATCTGAATTGGACGATGCATTCACAGCTTTTAAACTTTAATGTGCCACCTATTTTTACCAAGCTACTCACGTTTATTTCACCCTGGCTCTAAATGTTGTCTGAGGACATGTTGTTTATTTATTCTCTAGCTGTAATCTATACCTTTCTGCTTCTTTAGATACCGACTTGCCCCTGCTCACCATTTCCCTGTCCCATATGAGGATGTGTACCGTGTGGTCAAACACTTTCTCCAGAAGGGGGTGCTGGTCCAGTACTCTGTGGACCCAGGACGCATTGCTGTGTCTGGGGATAGTGCTGGAGGCAACCTGGCGGCTGCTGTCTCCCAGCAGGTACTGCATATATTTTGTCTTTTTGGTATTTGGTATTTTTAGTTTCAAATTGGGAAGAGGAACTGACAACCTATCAACTGATAACTACATTATCTTTTAGAAAATGTCTCTAAAATAATCTGAGTAAAATAATAAGAACTGGCAAATCACCAGATCTAACACATGTTAAAGACACCGTTACCAAACCACTCAGACAGCAGTAGATAGATTATACTGTTTTTAAGGAGAAAAATATTAGTTATGAAATTGCATTTAATGCCTTGGGGAATTCATAGTACTTTGGCTTGATCAGGCTCATATAGGAAGGCGTATCTGTAGTGTCATGAATACACTACTGTGTGAAGAGAGGAGATACATCCATCAATATTTTTTTGAATCTGAGGTCAAACCTGCTCTCATAAATGAGATTGGTTGAGGAGTATAAATCACAAATGAAGATAAACCTAACCCTGACCCTACTCATTAAACCTGCAAACTAGCAGCAGAGACTTTTAAACAGGTGAAAAGTGAAGTATACAAAGAGCCTTTTAGGAGAGACTCTCAGTCTTTACTACAGCTTGACTCTGGCAGCCGGACAGATCGTCTGCTTGGAATTTTGGCTCCTTCATGTGAATGTTTCTCCATGCTGTCTTGAGCAAGGTCCCACTTATATGGAATTTTTTTTAGGTTGATCATGATGTTGTCCTTGGAATACCTTTCCTGCTCTTAGTTTCGAGGTCAGGACCATTCCTTGGTTGTTTCTGCCAGGCATTTGTAGAACATTAGCAGTCCTTCTCAGCTGTCGTTCTATGCTGGTGTGACTTTTCTGTTAATGTTTGATTCCTGACAAACTCTGAATTCAATAAACTTTTCCTTTGAGCCGATAAATACAATTTCACAAGCATATAAAAAGAACTCTAAAAATCACGTCTATTTTTGGTAGACCAGATCTCTCCAGATATGGACCACCTACAGGAAGATTGTTGCCTTTTAATTCCAATAGTAGGGCAGTGTTTTCAAATACTCTACTACAGAGCTCTACTCCTACCTTTGAGGAGGGCTGACAATAAGGCTACTTGCAGAAAACATGTCACTGGAAAACCCCACCAGATAATATTAAGTTTTGACCTTTTAGTTAAGGGGCTGTTTACTATGTCGCAAGGTTGTTGTTATGTTTTAGTGGACTCCTGTACTGTTGTGCCTAATTAGTTTTATTTCTGTACCAATCTCTTAGGCTGGTTGTTTGGCATTTTTTTCCATAAAAAACACATTTATACTGTTCAACACTTTAAGTCCTAAGTTTAATTTTAGCAAAGAAAACAATTTAGAAAAGAGATTGATATTTTTTTTCCCTGTAAACATCCATGACAATTTTGATCAGATATTGTTAGTTAATTTCTAAAAACTGTAAGTCATGTTCTTATCGCTCTCTCTGTATCTCCACACAGTTACAAAAAGAAGACGGGCAGCAGGTTAAGTTGAAGGCCCAAGCTCTCATCTACCCTGTGCTGCAGGCCCTGGATCTCAACACGCCTTCCTATCAGCAGAATCAAGATATGCCCATTCTGCCGCGCACCCTCATGGTGCGTTTCTGGAGCGAGTACTTCACCAGTGACAAAGCCTTTTTCAAAGCCATGATGGCCAACACCCACAACAACCCTGAGTCTTTCAGCCTTCTGAAGTTTGTCAACTGGAGCACTTTTCTGCCAGAAGCATATCATGGGAAGTACAACTACAGCGCCCCCGCTGTTGTTCAGAGAGTCAGAGAGGATGTTGGGATGGACGGACTGTCTCGATCTCTGGCTGACCCGAGGGCATCGCCCTTGCTGGTTCCAGACACTGACTTGCACTCACTGCCCAAGGCCTACATTCTGACATGTGAGTATGATGTTCTCCGAGATGATGGGATCATGTATGTCACACGGCTCCGTGCTGCTGGTGTAGAGGTGACACATGAACATTATGACACCGGGTTTCACGGAGGTCTAATGTTTACCGTGTGGCCAACCGACTTCCTGATTGCACGACGCATGGTGGATAACTATATCAAATGGCTCAAGGAAAACTTGTAAGAACTCTTGACAATCAATATACATTCCATTTTTTTCCAACTAATGCACCATTAATTGATCATGTACACATTTTTTTTCAATCTTTTGTTTTTGTTTGAGTGTTGTGCTTTTATCCCTCCAAATATTTTGAGGTACATTCGATACAAGTACGAGAACCAGATTTTCCAAGTCTAGATCAGATAGTGTTAAATAAGATAGTTTGAGTTAAGTGTTCAAGAGAAATGCTTTCTTCTGTGATGGTTTCACATCAGGGCTACACATGAAGAAAATGTATGAGCCACATTCCAAAGTGAATAATGTTATATTTATGAGTAGAGACAATGTTGCAACATTATACCTCCAAACCTTATTCACACTATATTATCAAAGAGAGGGGTGATATCCTCATTCAACTTTTATTCCCTGAACGTATGCTCTTGCAACTTTCAGTCTGACTACGCTGAATTGTCCCAGAGGCAAAATGATCATAAATGGTCATGTGAAGCCACTCCCTTGTTTCTTTATTTTATTTTATGACTTGTCACTTATTTTTTCATCTGTTGGTGTCATTACTCTGTGACTCACTGCATATAAAACAGCTAACATAAAGATAACAGGAAAACAAAAAAGTACCAAAAAATCATCTGTGTTACAAATGTCTCTGTTCTTAAATGTCTCACTGTTCCTTAATAGTGAAACTGGAAGTCTTAGCTTATAGGAGTGTCATTGATTCAATGTGTTGCAGAGCTGTTTTTTTTTCACAAACTAAATATCCAACACCATGTATTTTTTCAACAAGTGACAGCTCTACACCTTTTTTTGCTATTATTTCAAATGTAAATACAACTACTTCGATGTGCGTTTCATGAATTTCCTCTTTGACGACTTAACATTTGATTCATATTTAATTTTAATGTTATCTGTTAATAAATTGACTTGACCTGTATTTGCTGATCAGTTGTTCTATTTTGTGTACAACCGTGTTCAGAGAAAAACACAGGCTAGAGTAGATGTACTTGCCAACATTATGTTACATGTTGCATAACGGTTACAAGCACATTGTACTCAGGGAACATGAACAGGATGATATGCTGAGAAGGATATTGTATTGACTGACTCAGACACACTTAATCCACTTGGTGCCACTTAGGTGAAGCGGTCCCTGTGGGATCTGTTGAGTGTTCATAAGCTTAGAGGGGAGAGTACAGTTTTATCTGCAAACACTGAGGATCACTGAACACACCTACACACATTGTAGAGCCTGGAAAAAAACAGCTGTTTTATTTTATCTAAATAGCAAAGAGTCTGATGCATTGGTACAATGGAAAAAAGGTGATTCAAATAGGTCAACCTTGTTTATGTGGACATTACAAACAAACCACTCCACACCTTCTGGGTGTAGAGTGGACTATTTATGTACTACACACTGCGTGCTTCGTATACAGGTGTGTAACTAAGCACTTCATGTGTATGCACTTATTATTCCTCTGTAGACAAAGTGTTAGTACTGTTAACAAATTCTTTCAGTGCTGTGGAGGGATAATAACAGTAACGTGAAATGGATTACGGCAGATGGTTCCTTGAACTGTTACTAATGTGAAGTGTTTTTGAACAGATTATACCTACATACAGTATACAGAATACACAAATCCCTACTGTGTTCACACACAGGAATGTGAACAAGCATGACCAAGCACACTGCTTTTAAGTACTTTGTGTCAACATGATTTTCACATACAGCTTGAACATAAATCATGTCATTATCAGAGGGAAACATTTGTATTTCATTACTGCAATATCTTTATCATATTAAAATTTGTTTAAATCATCTAGCTCAATCATCATTAAATGGGGATATTTCATTATGAAGCATAAAAAACAGCAGATGTTGTTTTGCCCTCATATGTACTTGTTTGCACCCTTTTCTCATGGGTTCTGTGTCTATATGATCCCTCCAACTTTAAATATGAAACTTGAAACACAGACAACCGAGCAAAGCCCAAGATTCTAGCCTCTCCTCTTTTCTTCTTCCAAGACACATGCCAATGTAAATGTAATGCTGTCTCAAGCATGTTGTGATTAGCCATGACTAAAAGAAAGTGATATTGTCTGTTTAAGTTAAGTGAGTTTAATAGAGGCTCCAGGCCTAAGTAAGCACCAAAAAGACACTGACAGCACAATATGAAGGAGGTTTTCATGACAGCGCAGAGTTCCAAATAATTACAACTTAGATATTACAATAGAGCAGTGAAACAGACCAAACAACACTTAAATATGCTCAGTGAAAAAAATGAAAAAGCCTAAAAATGGCACTTGACCCAATATATTCCATACAACGCCAACATTTTTAATGCAGTTCTCAAGGTTACTCAAGGTAGGCATACATTTTTTGAATAGTGGTATTATATCAATTCATATTATTTTACGTTTGTATTTCAAACATGAACATTTGAGTGTCAAGGGTAAAAAGGAAGACATTTTTACTAATTATAATGGAGGTATTGGGGCTATGGTTTAAGACCTCAAAGAAAGCATCTAGGCCAAGTGTAAACATTATTTAGACAACTTTTGATGCAAACTTATGGTACACTAGCCATATATGTGCAGCTTAGAGCTCAATCCATTGCCTTCAATAACCAATTGTAATATTTGTGACCTGCGTGAAGTTTTTAATTGATGTGTGGACACTAAATAACACGGTGAATATTGGAAAACAGAAGCTTTTAAACATGAGAATGTATCTCTATGATGACTGTTGAAAAATACACGATGTTAGGGGCTTCATTATTCAGTGTGGAGGAGTTTAACTGAAACCACCTACCTCTACAGATTTTCAGATTGATTGTAGAATCCTAGTCTACTGTGTTTAACAATAAATACCATTTATTTTCATACTCACCAAGTTTCAAGGAAAAAGGAAGACATGAAAGATGTAGAGTGCCATGGAACATCAATTTAAAGACTTTCAATAATAATCAGAGAATTAGCTGTACAAGTTTCACTTTGCACACATCAGAGAGAAAAAATCAAAGCCAGCGCTTTAGTCAACAGGGCAGGTGCTTATACTGATTGAATGCATGAAATAACTGCAGTGTAGTCAACCAGCTACATCAAATGGATTATTATGTGAAGAATGAAAATATACCTAGTTATGTGACATATTGGCTTTCATGTTAACACATCCCACAAAAAAACTAAGCTACCTAAACTCAGCAGCTAAGCTTAAAAAATAGTGGGAACAGTGAATAATGGGGCAGAGTTTGGTGTTAGCATTAACAGATTGGTCAAGCTAAGACGACAAATGTTGCTGTGATAAATTTTTGCTATGGTAACCACATGGTTTACATACACTTACACTGACCCAGCTTTGGAGATGGAGATCTAACAGCTTGCATCAAGCTGTGAATTGCAATGCAGAACTCCTCTGTGCAGAATAACTCAACTATTGGGGGGAAGCTTCCATGCATTCCTATTTTGCTGCATGGATTTTGCTCAGCTTCTCTGATTGATCGCTGTTGCTCTGAATTTGACATTGTGTGGCAGGTTGCAGATAGGTACTGAGAGATGCACATGCAGCCTTCTGACTGAGACGAAGAGATAGAAATCCAATCCAAATCACTGTTCAAACTGATTCCAACCTTGTTTGGATCAAATTTCCCAATATTATGTTTTTTTATTATTATTAATATTTGCAGTTTAGACTTTATCAAATCAAACTGTATACAAATCCTGATATGTTAAAAAACTGAGTAAGTATGATGCCTGAACAAAGCTCAATAGAATGCTTCTGAGGAACACTGTATTTAATGTCTATAGTCAATAAAGGGTAAACATGCTCTGCTGTTTGCAGCATTTGAAAAGGCAGCACTCCTGTTGTAATTGACACCCCAACAAAAATAGGTCATTAGAAAGACCAGGATGTTCTCTGTATGGCACAATAGGTTTAAGCTTGATAGTTTGAAATGTTTCCGAAATATACTTTAGAGATGCATGCCCCCCACAGAGGACAAAAAGGCAATAGCCGCCAATTATCTTCTCTTTAGTTTTATTACAGTAAAAGGTGATACAACACTATGCTAACGTAAAACACAAACATCACTAAAACAGTAGAAACTATATCCAGCGTACCTCTCCAGTTTCATCTGGCATATTAGAAAGCATGCTTTTTTTTCACATTAAAAAGCACCATTTAAAAAAAATAAACAAAATATCAACATTTTTTAACATTAGGTATTTAAAGAAAAACTTGACACAATATATTATGTAAAGACACAGCTAACTGAGATTTTTGGGTGTTCTTCTTGTGTCTCTATGGTGAAATTGTTAGGGTTGATTCTCTTTGCAGCTTTGGCTTTCTGACCAGCTTTCTTAACTTAGATAATAGGAGCACTCTGAACTTGTCACCCATAAAGAAGTAGAAGACGGGGTTGATGACGCTGTGCAGGAAGGCCAATGGACGGGACATGATGTACAGGCTCTCTATGTACATCTTCGTACACAGCCGCAGCTCGGCCCAGGGCTGCAGAGATGCAATTCTTACATTCCTCAACAGATGATAGGGAGTGTAAAGGACCAGGAACATGGCTGCTGCTGATCTAACAACTCTGAGAGGCCGCTTGTATGATGTTGTTCTGCGTTGTAGAGCCCTGTCCTGGACACGTAGCATTTGGCAATTTTGTAGGAGAAACCACAAAGTCCTAGCAGAGGAAGGATGTAACCAGTCATGGTTAGCCCCAGGCTGTATCCGAATGGATTGATGTCTCCATTAAGACTGGCGAAATCCTTGCAGAGACTCAAGTTTTCATTCTGCAGGTCCTGGGTCATTAGCGCTATCATTGGAGCAACTTCCACATTGACAGCTAGCCAGCTCAGCCCTGTAATGATCAGGGCTGAGCGCTGGCTCTGCAGATAATGGGTCCGTGTTGGATATCTTATGAGCAGAAAACGGTCCATGCTAAGCCAAACCATGAAGAGGATGGAAGAGTAAAGGTTCACATGTAGGACATAGCGATTGGAAATGCAAGCATAGGGACTTGTCTCTGATTGGCCATTTGCATAGAGGTATGAGAGACGTGGAAGTGTGCATAGGAAAATAAGGTCAGACACTGCTAGGTTGAAGAGATAAATGTTGTAGCTCTGCCACTCTTGCAAACAAAATATGTATCCAAGTACAACCAAAAGGTTTCCAGGGAAACCAATGCAGAACTCTATGCCATAAGATGGTGCCAGGTAGTACTTCTCCAGCATGTCATCTATCTGTGTACATTGGGGCACCTTGCCAGGAAAGAAGTAGATATAATGGAAAACGACAGAAAGAGAGAGGAAAAGGAAGGAGAGGGGAGTGGGGGAGGGTAGAAGAAACAAAACAGGTGAGTTATCATGAAAACAAGCTCTTCTGATATGGAACTGTGAACTTAAAAAGCGGAAACAAATTTCAGGTTCAGTACTCAACATATCCGTACAAAATAAATATTCTGTGTGTAAGGATAAGACTTACCATGCTGTAGTTGTTCAAGTAGTTGTTGGTAGAATAAATAGAGAGTGCGACCATAAGCCGGTGAAGTCACTATCTGTCCTCTGAAAACAGTAAACACTGAGATGTCAGGGTGCTGGTGCCTCTAATATGACATGGCTGGAAAATCCACCCACAAAAGTTATGTTTGTTTGCATTTATAAAATATGCAAAAGATGACAAACCAAACCTCCTGGCAGACTTCTTCAGTTACTTTATAACTTTACTGTAAAATACAATTTATTAAAACAAGTGTACTAATAATCAGATTCTGGCAAATTAAATATGCACTCAAAGTTTAACATTGGGAAACACAAATATGGCTAAATTCATATTTGTTTTCAGCAAGACCTTGGGATATAAGTTTTACAAGACAGCATCTATATTCAAATATTTTATGCTCAATTATCAGAGGTGGCTATTGCCTATCAAATCAACTATCTGTTGCAGAGAAGTTACGTTCCATTGTTCCACAAATGTCAAATGTTATTTTAAATGCATCTTTGCATTGAAAGAGGGAGAAACAACAGGCTTCTTGGTCAATTGGCTACAAACTGTCTGTCCAAAAATGATCATCCAGGGTAACTTTACCAGTATCATAAGCTAGGCGAGCTTCAAGTTATATTTTCTGTGACAGAAATATACATTTCTAAACTCTTAAAGCAAAATATATGTTGTTAAAGCACACACTAATCTTCTTGCATTGAGGAGATTTTCAAAAGTAAAATGTTTTAAATCAAGAATGAGCCTTGTTTAACATGCCTCACTACTATAAATAGTTTATTATTGCTATGCACAGGTAGCTGTAAGCAGTTAAAATGTGAAGTGGAATTATAAAGAAATTATAATAATCTTTCCTAAATATTTTATGAAAGTTTTACTTACGATCTCCTTTGGGCCAAAGATGTCTTTTCTTGAGTTCAAATAAAAGTCTAAAAATTGCACAAGAGAAGATGTCTTAAGTCAAGTGAGAACAACTCAATGAAAAATTCACTTTGGTCTTTGGTTTTTCACACGTTAGCTTGGAAGTTCCCTTTTCTATTTCAGTTGACGAAATCACACAAAAATGTACAGTATGTCATCTCAGTATGTCATGTTATGTAATATATTTTAATGCAACCCTATATTATTTGAAAAGTTAGTTCAATGAGTATACTGTATACTGACTTTTAAATGTTATTACATATTTATTTTTTCAGTTATTTCTGATCTGTCAGTATCCAACTCTCCCCTAACACTTTCCAATAGTTTGTCTTCTGCTTTAAATTATCTTCAGACTTTTTTTTTCAGTTTGTACAGAATTACATGCAAGTATACCAGATAAGAAATAGACTCTTGCAGTGTCATTTCCTGAGCTCTAGCAGATAGATTCCAGGAAGTCCAAGTAACTGCATGATGTATGCAAATAAATATTGCCTGACTTACAAACACATTTTCACTTAAGTCAACAAATAAAATCCATTAATACACCTCAACATATGAAGGTCAATTATATCATATAACTGTGAAAAATGACATTTAAATGCACAACTAATATGAAACACATCCTGGGACTAGAAAAAAAACATTTACAATTTCTAAACTAATATATGAGAGATGTTTCAGTATTTTGGCTTTCAAATGAAGCCAAATTACTGAAGCATTAGTTAGAATATGTATACCTTTTGGGGTGCCGGTGGTTAGTGTGGGCTCCCCATGAACGTATGCTGTTATCCTCCAGACAGACGGCCTGTGCTCGAATTTGACTTGCAGATATATGCAGAATATCTGTACTTTTTAACACTGCACTTATGTTACATTTAGTTAAAAGCAAGTTTGTTTAGAGAGAGAGAGCTGACACATGCAGATGGGCTTCAATGCATACGCAACTCTTCCTTTAACAGCAAATTTACTACCATATGTATGGAATTATGTGTTTTTGGACCTTATCTATTACAGTGTCAAAATCAGTTAGATGTAGCTGTCTTTAGTTATCACGTACAATTGATACTCACTTGTGGACATGCAGTAAGCAACTTTTGTTCTTTTTTTTTTTTGGAATTGATGATGGTGGTTTTATATGCTGACTAAAACCATCTGAGAAGAGTTTAAATTGTCTACTCACATCAGAGTAGACTTAAGTATTCCAAGCAAATATCATGGGAAAAACATGGATTCAAATATTTGGGTCTGCAATGTTTAATCATGTCAAAATGGTTCACTTTGCTTTGGAGCATATTCAGGAACAGAAAACAATGCCACAGTGATGGCTTTTGAATTTTTGGTTTGGTATCCAAGCACCTTTCATGCTAAAAAAACACCCTGATCTGGTTGATGTTGATTCTGATAGAGAGCCGACTGTATTTTTTGGCAAATACATATACAATGGTTAGCTGAGAGAAATGTGAGAAAGTTATACTGTCTTTTTAACTTAGTCTGCAGAAAAAGTAAGCAAGAAGTAATGGAATTGGCATGTCCTTAGAAACCCAGAACTGTGGCTGACATTCGTTTGTTTGGATATATTAATGTGGGATCAAAAATAATCTCTGAGCATTCCTGTGCTTTAGTAGTGTTAGGGGTTGTTTGAGTGGAGGCCAGCCATGGGGTAATCATTGCCCGGCAATGACACGAGTTATTTTTATACTAACTTCAAATTATTTGCAGTTGTGTACAATGACAGTGACCTCTAGTGGCAGGCTACTGCAAATAAAGTTTAAGAGGATTCACAGATAATTTCACACATGCCATGTCTTCATTACTAATTGTTCAAGGAGTTCAGGCTTTTTAAAGTTTCTTCAGTTTAAACTATGCACAGTCAACTCTGGACTTTGTTATTGGCTTTGAACCTACTTGAAAGTACACAAAGTGTAAGAATTAAAGATGACATGTGAACACATTAGATGCACATTTACAGCATTTGATAGATATAAATGATACAGTTAGTTCCATTGTAAAACAATACTTAGTATTTTCGGCATAAATCGAAGAGAAGAAAATAAGTAGCCCGGGACTGTAAAGCCACTGAAGTATTTAAACTGCCAGTCTCCCAATTGCCATACAATATTTTCAAAGACTTCCTATGTCCTTCAATTATCTCTGGCCCTGCAGATGGAGTTGGGGTACTGGCTAATACAGCATCCCCTTTGACAGCCACTGGTGCTGTCTTCATATCTCTTTTTTAGATAAAGGCCTATGGCTTTAGCGAGTGGATTTACTTTAAACTAAAGGGCTATAAGGAATGTGTGTTAATATGAGGGTTTGAGCCAATCGTAGGAATTATGAGCCACAATCAAAAATACTGTACACTACACTAAACCAGTGCTGCACCATTATATTTAATAATCTACCTCCAATTATTCATCAGTTTCACATTTCAACTAATTACTGATTATTTCAACCAAATGGTTTTCAAGTGTTCTGAGTAAGTAAAAAAAAAAAAAAAAAAATCACTAATTAACAAAGTCTATGGACCTGGAAAATAACCATGATTTCACAGCCGACATAATAAATATTTGTCTTATGTCATCTTTTCACAACTCATTATTCTCATGACCCCCACTTTCTTTTGTTTGTGAACCACCACATTTGAAATACCTTCAAATTGTGCCACTTAACTTAAATTCAGTGCAAAAATAAATCTGAGCGCTTCCTGTCCCTCCCCCTACGTATGGATTTGTGGGTAAACAGCACGTTAGAAGTCCAGCTGCGTACTAGCCCCACAGAGATCATTTGCAAATTGAATCCAGCAGAGGGCAGTCTTTACCCAAAGCTCAGAAATAGAGCTACAATTCCACAAGTGTCCTGAAGTACAAGTATTAAATTACATTTATGTAGCTGAAATTATGTAGCAGCAACAAAAGTCGAAATGGAAATAAAACAAAAACATAATTCAACTAAAAGTAACAATAAGGTGTAAAGATGTATGGGAAGTACAAATTTGTCCCTAGCTAGTTGAAAGCAGATATTTATTGATGCTAGGAATTCAGGAAAAAGCTGAGAAGAAAGTGACAAACTGATAGATACCAGAACTTGGTCCCCAACCTATAAATGTATTTTGTCAAATGACCTATGAATGTGTCACTGTGTGTGCATATTTTGGCATATGTGTGTAAAATGAAGAAATTAAAAGTTGATGGACTGTATCTATGGGTTTCACTCCTGCTCTTTTCTCCCTCTTCCCCTGAGATAGGCAATTTGTCCCATACACACCCTGACACACACACACACACACACACTCGTATACACACACATGCACACATGCATGCACAAGTAATCAGTACTGTTGTTGGGTACATTACTTGGCGACAAAATGGGAATTGTTTTGTGAAGATTGCTGTGTGAATGAGGTGTGAGTGAGTGTCTGTCTTGTGCTTTTTGTGTGATGAGTGAGAGTTCTCATCAGCCCCTGTAGCATCAACTGTCCCACTTCTGGAAGGTGACACACTTAGAGCCTTATCACCACAACTGCACTAATTCTCAACATGGTTCGCTTCTGCCAGTTTTTTAATTGGGTCAAGACCTAATGTAGCTAGTGTGCTTACTGGTGTCAGCTGTCTATCACATAGGATGGATTCAGATGAAGTGAGAGATTTTAAGGAGATGTTTCATAGCTGAACTGCAAAATGCAACTGTTGTTAAGCTTCATGATAAAAATAACAATAACTTTATTTATGTAGCACCTTTAAAAACTGATTTTTACAAACTGATTTTGACACAAAAATCACTCCAAACATACATACTACAGTACATGCAGAAGAGAGGGCTGTGAGAGTCCTCTAACTCTCTGCACTTTCTATGCTCTCTACATGACCTTTCTCCTCTGCCTTTTTAAGTCTTTTCTCTCCCCATAGTCTTCTATCTTTCTTTATCATCATCTCAACTAATTTTCCATCATTTCTCCTTTAGGTTCATCTCTTCAAATTCCAATATGTTCTCATAGGCTGGAGTCAGTGGATGTTTTAATAATTCATCTGATGTTTCAGCAGCAGCCAAACTGGCATGCTGAGACAGGGGTGAGATTGAGGGTTTTACCTGCTCTCACCCCTTTTATTTGAAAGGGAGGGGGTGGGGGGGGTGACAGCTATTACTGTTTTATGCAAACTCATTTGAAAATAACCTAAAAGTCTTGACACAGTCCTTATGTTCCTGTTTCAAATGTGTATGTGTCACATACACTGTCAGATTAAAGTAAGTTGTCAAAGTCAAAACAATGACTGTCTGGGTTGATAATTAATCAAAGTTTTC